GCTAACAGCTATAGGTATTAGGAATCCTAGTAAAAACTAGTAAAAAGGGTCTATTGGTCAACATTCTGAAAAATTAGTCACTCCTAAAAGGATAGTCACACTGGTTTGCTTGACTCCTCACACACTCACATAATGTATACCAAAAAGCCCAGTATATTCCTCTGTAGCAGCTTTTTTTTTTTTTTTTTTTTCAGTTCTAGGCCTATCCAGAGTGTATCCAGACCTTACAGCAAGACAAATTCATTCAGATTGCTTTTCATGTGGGAACCATCATATGATTTGGAAATTCTTGAAAATATTAGCTACATGTTTCAGGATCGGGGGGAGGATAAAAGTGGGAAGACAGATCTTCTTCCACCTTATGAAATTGTCTGGAGTGGCAGTGTTTGCATGGAAAGATATAACCACATAGCTTCAGCTGTGTCTGTAGTGCTCTCTATTTCATCTTAGAATTAAGCACAGTCCTAACATTAAGTAAACTATGAGTTTATCATTTTCAGGTAATTTCAAAACTGCCATTTAAAAAAAATATCTGCATTTTTTACAATGCAAGCCTGGGAAAAAAATGAACCATTCACCACACAAGGTTGTCCACTAAAGATTTGTATAAGAGTTAGAGTTACTTACAAAGGTATACTCATTCAATAAAAAGGAGGAATTATTGAATGTAAAAACTAGATTATATACAGTACAAGGTCTTGCAGCATGGGAAGAATGGATTCCCTTCTCTCAAAATTAGGTCAGTTTTTATCTGCAGTCTCTTTTTACTGCTTGGAAGTTGTTTTGGCAAAATACTAGTTTTAAAAGTGAGGAAGCCTTTCTGATAGAAACGTGAATTGTATTTTATCTAAGATAATTTTTATTATCTAAATATCTTTATTATCTAAATATCTTTATTATCTGAATATCTATCTATCTATCTATCTATCTATCTATCTATCTATCTATCTATCTATCTATATCTAAATAAATTTCTTTGTACCAGTGTATTTAGTTTATTTAATTAACCATGGAATTTCTTAACTGAAGTTTTATATGAATCCATAATTTCATAATGGAATACTACCTTATCAATAGAACAGAGACCTTAAATTTAAGACCTCAGGAGAAATGTGTCTATGTCTTGTAGAATGCCATCGAGAAGTTTTTCAGAGAGCTGCTGGTGAAACCACACCAGCAACTGAGTGTTTCTTACATGGTAGAGCAAGCACAGAGCCCCAGTTTTGCCAGGGCTGTGAACAGGCTGCAAAGGGCTGGAGAAGGCCAAGGACAGCATTCTCTCCTGGCACCTTCTGTGTGGCCTGTGCAATGGTGAGTTGCCATGGTGTGACTGAGTCTGGTGCGAGTGCTTGTTTAGAGGCTAAGCAAGCACAGAGCTCCCATTTGGCTCTTAGGCTAAAGGGGCTTCAAAGGATTAGGAATTAGGGTTAGGGTAGGAATACCACACAGTAATTGTTGAAACAGAATGCTCTTTCTGACCTTGATTGGTTTAGGGCCATTAGGGTTAGAGTTATGGTTAGAGTTAGGGATTATGGTTAAAATTAGAGTTAGTTAGGGTTTGGGTTAGGGTTAAGGTTAGTGTTAGGTTTAGGAGTAGAGTTGGTTAGGTTTAAGGCTAGGTTTAGTGTTAGGGTCAGGTGTTAGGGTCAGGTGTTACAAGTAAGCTTAGTGTTGGTTAGGGTTAGAGGTAGGGTTAGGATTAGATTTATTGTTAAATTTAGCGCCATTAGGGTTAGGGTAATGGTTAGGGTTAGGTTTAGGGATTAGGGTTAAGGTTAATGGGTAGGATTATGGGTTAGGTTTAGGGTTAGGATTAGGTTTGGGGCAGGAACACCTCACAGAAGGTGCTAGAATGGAATGTTGCTGGTCTTCACCATCCATTTGCAGATCGTTCACAACCCCAGCAAAACTGGGGGTCTGTGCTTACTTAGTACCTGAACATGCACTCGTGCCAGACCCAGCAACAACATCTAAACATGACATCTGCGAATGCCACAGTAGGTGCTAGAACAGAATATTGTTGCTGGCCCTCACCATCCCTTTGTAGAGCATTTACAGGTCTAACAAAACTGGTGCTCTGTGCTTGCTTAGCCTCTAAACAATCACTCGTGCCAGATCCAGACACACCATCGAAATGCAACATCTATCTGTGCAGGCCACACAGAAGGTACCAGGATGAATGTTGTTGCTGGCCTTCACCAACCCTTTGCAGTCCCCTCACAGCCATTAGAGTCAGGGTGAGGGTTAATGGTTATTTTTAGGGCTACCAGTTAAGTTTAGGGTTAAGGCTTAGAGTTAGGGTTAGCATTGATTATGATTAGGGTTAGTGTTAGGGTTTGGAGTTAGATTTAGGTTTGTTAGTGTTAGGGCTATTGGGTTAGGGTTAAGGTCATTAGGTTAGGGTTAGGATTAGTGTTAGTGTTAGGTTTAGGATTAGGGTCATTAGGGTTAGGTTTAGAGTTAGGTTTAGGGTTAGGGTTATGGTTAGAGCCATTAGGGCTAGAGTTAGGGTTAGGGCCTTTAGGGTAAATGTTAGGGTTAAGGTTAGGATTAGGGATGTTAGGGTTAAGTTTAGGATTAGGACAATTAGTGTTAGAGCTAGGTTTATGGCTATGTTTAGTGTTAGTGTTAGGGCCGTTAGCATAAAGGATTAGGCATAGGTTCATTAGGGTTAGTTGTAGGCTTAGGTTTAGGGCTGTTAGGGTTAATGTTATGGTTAGGGCCATTAGAGTTATGTTTAGGGTTTGTTTTAGGGTTAGGGTTAGTGTTAGTTAGGGTTAGGGGTTAAAGATAGGGTTAGTGTTAGGATTTAGGGTTAGGTTTAGGGTTAGGTTGTGGTTTAGGATTAGGTTTAGGGTTAAGTTTAGGGTTGAGGGTTAGGATTATTGTTAGGGTTAGATTTATGGTTAGAGTAAATTTTAGGTGGTAGAGTGCTATTGCAAGTGTTTGGATTAGGGTTAAATTTAGGTTTAGATATCAGGTTTAGGGTTATTGTTAGGTTAAAGTTAAGGGTTAGGCTCATTAGCGTTAGATTTAGGGACAGTTTGGGGGTTGGGGTTAGCATTAGGGATCAGGCCATTGGTAAGGGTTAGGATTAGGGTTGGGATTAGGGTTAGAGTTGGGTTTTGGGTTAGGGTTAGGGCCATTGGTTAGTGTTAGGTTTAGCAGTTAATGTGAAGGTTAGGTTTCGGATGAGGGTTAGGGTTAGGTTTGGGGCCTTACAGTAAGGGTTATTTTTAGGGCCTTAGGGTTAGTGTTAGGGTTAGGCGCTTAGAGTTAGGGTTAGGGTTGTGGTTTTATGGTTATGATTGTTAGGGTTAGGGATGCTCATTTAGGATTAGGGTTAGGGTTCGGATTAAGGTAACCACTATCTTGTGTACTCAAATTCCTAAAAATTATTCCAGTGTGATGAGAGCCACCATACTGACTAGTAAGAGTTGATCACAGCTTTAGCTCATCCATTACAAATAGGGAAAAACAGTCACAACCAGGCTTTTAGGTTTTAATCTCTATTTGATAACAAACTTGATTTTTGGAGTAGCATTTGAGGCTTCTCTGTGCAGGTAAGTGATCAGATACCATTATGCACTAATGAAAGACAAACATATAGTAAAGAGGAAGTAAATGAGAATTAGGTTACAAATGTTGTCTTACAGATCTATGTCTTTGTCCTCCTCTTTATTTTGCCCAGGTTGTAGAACTGTCTCTCTAGCATGAGCCTGGAATAATATTTGATTTTAGACACAAATTCCTTTGATTTAAGAGGCTAAAGTGGGATATACCCTGATACAAACCACCTACATTTCAGTATTTTAATACAGCTGTCTACACATCTGCAAATTGTCCAGATTCCCATTACAATAGAGTGATCGGGTCAGGACTACCAGTGTGCAAAGAAAAATCAATAGATACCACTGACATGACTCAGTTTCTTAAAGGTAAGGAATGCCACTCAGGATGCTCTTGTGTATCTTAAATATCTAGGTGGAGCTGGAAAACATGATATAAGACTTACAGGAGAGCTATACACTTACAAAGAAAACTGCAGAAATACATATTCCCCCTAATGGTATTAGATGCCTGCTTTGGGGTAACTTAGGCAAGTCCTGCTTCTCCTCCGACTATACAGAACTTTTGTATTTAACACCATTGGGAAATAATAAATGATAAACAGGATATGAACCAACACTTAAATCTTATCAAGAAAACTGCTTTTCCTGTGTCCAGAATTCCTGCTCTCCCAGGCCCTGAAAACAGCTTGTAAAATATTTACTGTGGCAAAACACAGATCTGATCTGGTGCCTATGTCCTATGAACCCTGATATTAAAATAATTTTTTTTTTTTTTTTTTTTTTTTTTTCCCCACACAGTCCAAGCCATAAGCAAGAGGGCTTTCGTTTTAACTTACTGCACCAAGAAATAAAGCTACATTCTAGGCATCTTTGTAACACAAGGGCCAGAAAGACCTTGTGCAGCTTGTGGGGGAAATCCTCTGTCACTGCTCAAAATTTTCCATTCAAGAGGTGGGGGACACCAAAACCCAGAAACTCCATCCCTGAGAGTCCCTAGGGAATACCATGCTGTCAGAACCACTGAAAACCTGTATCCTGTTAAAACCTACTGCCACCGGCCACAAGCACGGTCCCATTGGCAGAAGGAGGGGTGAATCCAGCATCTCTTCTTGCACAGAGAACGTGTGCTTCCAAATACACTCTAAAAGACCAGTTGGTGCTTCAGTTCCCCACAGTTTTGCAGGTGGGCAGCCAGAGGACAGATTAATAGAGCTGGGTCCAAAATCCCAGGAGGATGCTGGTGGATGTCCTTCCCTCCGCTTCAAGCCTGGTCCTTCGGGGCTCGGAGGTGTCGGGGGTTCCCCCAGGAGGGAGGCGGGTGGCCGGGAAGGGTGGTGCAAGGCTCTCCGGGGCGGGTCTTGGGCAGGTGGGGGCGGGCTGAGCCTCGGCTTTTGGCAGCTTCACCACAAGCAGAGGGAGCGGGGAGGACCCGGCGCCTGCCGGCGAGGATGCTAAGTTTGTGCTGGCTGCTGCTCCCCCTGGTGAGTGCCCGGGCGTGGGCTCTCTTGGTTGGGGGGGTGAAGGGATGAAGGAGGTGGGGCACAGCACATCTGGCTCCTGACACTGTTGAGCGCAGCTGGATGGCTCTGCAGCTACCCCGCAGGAACTGGGGAGGGGGATGTTCGCAGAGGCAGGGTAACTTTTCTAATAACATGGAGCAGGTAGAAAGAAAGAAAAACAAGGACAAGATAAAAAAAAAAGAAAAAAAAAAAGAAAAAAAGGGGACAGGGATGCAGGAGGGGAGGAAAGAAAAAACACTCCTGAGTTAAAGGTTTGACCCAGCTCTTTAACATCTTCTAGCCCTAAGATTCTATTAATAAAAGACTTTTCATATCAATTAATTAGAATTACAGTTTCCAAAGAACAGAAAAGCACCCCTAAATCAGAGTAGCATGGCTTTAGAGGGACAGAAAAGAACAGCTTGCTGTCCCAGTTGTCCTGAGAAAAGCAACTTTGATGAAGGAGGATAGCTAAAAAGGAATAGTTTCTCCTGATAGATTTGGGACATTTACCTCTTTGAAAGGACACTGATATTTTTGCTGCTGAAGGCATCTGCTTATAATATCACCAAGCAGGAGCATGAACTGTCTTGTCTGCTATGCTCTGGAGGCAGCAGGTGAGACTAACATTAAACATCAGGGAAGATGAGAGAGCAGAGAGACACAGTTCAAGCACATATATCCCTCACTAAGTCCCATGGTTTCATTGCCCGGGCTGGTTAGCAAAAGCTAGTGCAAGTAGAAGTACAGTCACACATCCTTTCCCCTCAATCTTCAGCCTCAGTGTAAGAGTTTGGAAACCTTCCTATGGATGTGATTCCCAGGGACTCATTAATTCTAACTCCAGCCATTTCACAGTTAAATGGTTAGTGTAGGCTGGAATTCAGACTTCTGCTGTAGTCAAGGGGGAGACAGTCACTTTTCTGGGAGGCATTTCATCTTGTCTTGAGAAAGACAGATGGGTGGATGTTCCTCTAGGGCTTGCTTTCTTGCACTAATAATACTGAGAGTCTAGATGGTTATAGACTGGTCTTGATCTTTCAGTTTTAAAAGGTGGAAGAGGGGATGTAAATTTTCACACGTGCACCTCACATCCTCTGCAACTCGTTTCTTCCTCTGTATTTACATAGCTTTATGTAGAAGTGATAGGATATAGATCCTTGCTATGTAAACCTCATCATGTATAGTTACTACTATTTGTAATACCTTTCAGGGAAAACTAGTCAGTCTGAAGTGTTACACTGCTACAGGCAGAGAGACTTTGGCATCTGGACTAGCCTTTTTACACATAATAGAGGCAAAACTTACTCTTGCAGCTGTCAGCAGAGTGGAGCTAACCTAAAGTGATGTATCATGCACATCTGTGGGCTGCTACACATTATATAATGTTTTAGCATATTGCAGCGGACTGTGCCCATAATAACAGAAATTCTACAAACTGCATGCTCTAGTTTTTGGCCTCAAAGTATTGTTCATATGTGAGCTCTAACTATATGTCTGGTAAGAGCCAGTGCTCTAAATATCAGTAGATTGCATGTCCCAAACTAGGTCTCATGGGAACTTTGCACCCTAAGTCCCGGAAGGCCAGAGACCCATAGGATGTATTGAGTAAACAGTCCTTTCGTATTTCAAAGGATCGTGTCAGAGCAGAGAAATAATTCTAGTGTGGATTCTGCAAATAATTCCCTCTTCAGATATTAAATAAACCAGAAGGGTAGTCCTGAAAACTTCCTCTGTGAAACTGAATACTTTCACTTCTATCAGCTCTGCAGGGAGCTGTATGTTGCAGGATATACCATGTGTATTGCAGAATAGAGTCCTTGACATTAAAAATTACCACTTGCTTATAAGTGATGAGGAACAAAGAGCAGTGGGTGCTGAAATGCATAAACATTACTTTTCCTTTCTTAGAGAGTTCAGAGTCTCGGGAAACAGAAAAGACTGCATTCACTGTCCTTCCTGCTGAGTTAAACTGCTTTCTTCTTCAAAGTTGTTAGAGCTTTTCATATTTCCGGGGAAGGGCTTCAGTCTGATCTGATGAATGGAGGTGAGAATGGAAACATAGATGAGAGTTATTGCTGAGCTCTACATTTGCTTTAGCAAAGCATTTCTTTTAGTAATAGGCATATGGATAGAAATCGATGGCAATATACAGAGCTCCCAATAAAACAGAACTGGGTGCCTAAATTTCTGATAGAGCTACTGCTGGATAATTTGTGTTGGAGGGACATACTTGCTTATTCTAGGGATCCGGTCCCTGCAGATCTTAAAGTCCACCTCTATAGGGAACTGGAGATGTATAAGAATCAGTCTGTTCAGGCATTTTGTTAGCCTGGAGGGAGTTGGTGAAGGGAGACAGGCTTCTATACAGTGAGTCGCTCTGTCCTCAAATAGGTGTCTGAGAGAGGTAGGAGGAAGCCTTCCCTGGAACTGCTTGTCTGCCTTCATTGATCATTAAGGGATGTTTGATGGAGGATTCAGATTAATAATCTAAATTATCTATCAAAAACTAGGATCTTGACTAAAGCTACCCATTTAGTCTCCTTCAGTACTCCTGGGAGGAGGTGGAAATACTCCAGGAAGCTATGGCTTCAGTTGAGTGAACTTGCTGATGGACTTTGACATCTAGGTTTCAGTTCTTTGGGATCAGGTGACATGAACCCCACCTTTAGGCAAACATGTCGCACATGCAGAAAGGAAGAAATGTCTCTTTAATTTGGAGGAGTACTTGCAATAGCAGAAAATGAAGATCCTCAGTTATTAGTGTTCTGTAATTTTTAAAGTGTTAGTGATAATTAAATGCTCTACCAAATTTAACGTAGAGCTAATAGATTCATATTATTTTTTCTCAAAAGAATACTAATTACATAGGGTTTATGAACAAAATTAATTAGTATGGCTGTATTGTCACATACTGAATATCTGTGAGTGAATACATATAGTTGTATGTATGGATATGTATGTATAGCAAATACTGTTTTGTATGAGACTATGCAGTTAAATACAGTCAGATAAATACAATCTAATACACAGAGGAGCATTCAAGCATTACTCCAATGTCTTAAAAACAATCTTGAAAAGATATTCCTCTAAATAACTGTAAGGCAATCACTGTCTCATCTTCTCTTGTTCCATAGGTAATCAAGTTAGAAAGAGAAAACAAACACTGAAAATATCCTCTAGGTAGTCATTTTCAGCCAAAAAGACTCCCGATATAATATCTTCAGCTGTCTGAAGAGAAAGATTGGAAATAGGTCTTTACCTTAGGGGTTGAAAGCTGCTGGGATCAAGACTGTGTCAGAGCTTGCAAGTTGAGGGCAGGAGTTTCTGTGACAACTAAATACGTTGCTGGTGACTGGAGTCATGTTGCTGTTGTGGTGACCTCATGCTTTACAGTAAGTCAAAAGCAAGAGTGGTAAACATGGCTTGGATATAGTAGAAACAATTTGGATGCTTATCTATTTTGACAAGTGCATTTGAGCAGTGGAATTTTTTGCTGCATAAGAAATCTTTGGTTATTTTTTATTGGTTCTTGGAATTTTCTGACAGAACATAATACGACGTATATAGAACATAGTACTACTTATATTACATTATAAATACCCCAGAATAACTTACAAGGCATAGTAGATAGGAAGATCCTTACTGTGGTGATTGTGAATATAGTTGTACTGAAATGGACAGGAGCTTATGGAGCTCAAGGTTGGTTCCAGCTCCTTTCAAAGCACACATGAAAATTGCCCCTGACTTTGGTGACCTGCACTTCCCAGTCTCAAAGTTTTCTAATTAGTACTTTGCTTTTTGAGAAGGGAGTTAAGCAGATGGAAGGACACAGGTCTTATGGAAGATTTTGATGATGTATATTCAACAGTCTGGGAAGTTTATGAAAAAGGATGAGGATTTCTTTGTCTTCTTCAGTTATTTGACCTCTGTTCAACATTTGTCATGAGCCCCATTCCATCCTATAAATCTTTCCTGATCATCAACATTTCAGTTGAAAAAAAGTTTTGTGTTTCAGAGCATATCTGCATTCTCCGGACTGTGTCTTAGGTGTCACTGGCCAACTTTCAGGACTGACTGAACACTTCATTCCGTAGTTAAAAATGGGTAGGGAATGCAAGATTTTTGAATGTCTTTGCTGTGACTTTCTGCATCCTAAAATACTAGGTGAGTTTTAATCCTCCAAGGTAGGAGTTAGTCTGTGATGCGAATGGCAGACAACTCTGGTTTTGTATAAGGGTGAGTTAAACGTTCAGTTGTCAGAGTCATATCAGAAAATCTGAAGAGAGGAAGCACAGATGGGGAGAACAGGGAGTACAGAAATGATTTGAGAGCAAATCTAAGTAGAGATCTGAGATTGAATGCAAGCTGTAGAGACAGAGACAAAAAACCAGTGATGAATATTCTTCGTAAATGATTTATGCACTTGACACAAAACCTATTAGTGAAGTTTTAGGATTACGAGTCATTGGAAACTAAACCACATCACTGGAAAGACCCTTCAAGTTCTCAAACCCTTCCCATCTCGTCAATGATTTCAGCCACTTCTTCAATTTTTGATTAATTTTTTAAAAAATTGAGTGTTACCAATTAACTTCTGGCTCTTTGATCCCATTGAATTGCCCAGCTTTGAAGCACTTCCCTTGTTTTCAGAGAGCATACAAAATGTCCCTACTTTTCCCCAAATGTGCTAATGGGCTTCTTAATGAGTGAAGATCTGTCTTTTATGTGACATTTAAATTACAGTTTTTCTACCACCATGACAGCCTAGGGGCACCATCTTCGGATGGGCTCTCAGAAAAGATTACTTTTAACTAAGTTGCACTAATTATGGCATGAGGATGTTTCTAGAAAAACTCTTCCCAGTGCTTGTTAAGTCTGATGTTGTCCAACAAGAGCAAATCAAAGACCAAAGTACCATTATCTTGTTTTTTGTTTTTGGTGGGTTTTTTTTTGTTGTTGTTGTTGTTTAGATTTGGGCAAATAAATAAACTATCACATAACACAGGAAATACAAAACAATGTTATACTTACTATTAGTGAGTATAACAAGGTTTCAATGTAATAAACTTACAGATGTTAAAGAAAAGGAAGTCTAAAAGCCCAAAATAAGTCTTTCTAAACTGTCTCATGTTTTTAGCATGCCCATACCTGTCATAGGTAACTTTTCAATGTTCAAAAGGTGATTGCTTTTTTTCCAGGCAAGATTGTTTCAGTGGTTAGGATTTAGAGTTAAGATGTCCTGTGAATTTTGGCTGGTCACTAATCTTCAAGCCAGCAAAAAGATCTTCTTTGTGTTATGATACTCAGTAATGCAAAGTTTTGTTCCTTGAGTGCTGTTTACAACACTGCATGAAACCTCTGTTTTCCCTATAAGCCTTGGGATGAAGGCACCCCACTGTGATTTTCAGTAAGGTTCATGCCAGGTTACTGCCTAGCTATTAGGAAATGTTGATCCAAGAAGTAGCATTTTAAAGCAGACATACGTTTTACTGTGTTAGGGAAGACTCTGCCAGATTGGACATTCCTGCCTCAGAAATCTCTTTTGGTGCCTAGATTATCCTTTTATACGGTGAACAGGAGTTACTCTTTTCCTACAAGAGCTCAGTTGTTACAGCAGACACCTCCCAAATTGCAATACTATGTCCCTACAACAAATGCAGAGCCCTTGTTTTCTAGAAAGCCCTATCACCTAACCATCAAAGGCAGATTAGAGCAACAACATGCACTTTTCTCTCAAGGCATTGTGAGATTAATAACAAAAAATAAGTAAGCCATAGCCAACAAGTAATGTTCTGCCCAGAAGGCTCTTCTTTAACTGTAAAATGGTTTAATGTGTTTCATTTTCTTAAAGCCTGAGGAAAACCAACAAATTGAAGCATCATCACTGTTCTTAGTTTCTTGTATATGTGTCATTTTTTTCCTTCTTTTTTGTAACAGTGGGATTACTTCCAGTAAGGCTACATGATTGTAAGTTAACAACACCAGCCTCATTTTTGCTTATGGGATAATCTGCAATTGCACTTGATGCTGATTTTGAAACACTGATGTGTCAGTAATATTTAACCAATGCACTGGCCTATAACAAAAACTCTGCACTCTGGTGGCTATAGACAGCCCACTCCAAATCCAGTAGCCCAGAAGCAAAAAAATATGTGAGCATAATTAATTGTTTATCTATCGGTGGTAGTGGGATGGACTGCAGTCTCACCATTGGTATCAACAACAGTTGGTCAGGATTTCTGGAATATATCATAAAATCTTGTTTACTAGTGATTCATCACTGCTTTCAGAGGCAAGAGTCTGGAGTACATGGACCAGGGATCTAATCTGTTATATCAGTTACTCTGTCATGTGTAAAACCAATACAGTACAACTTCCCTACGGGTAGGGTATGGACCTCCCCATCCACTTTAAATGAATAGCACTCTACAGATTTCAATACAACTCTGCTGAATTTTGGTGATTGAGGGTCTGGTTCAGCAGGTGTAGATTTACTAAAGGAGAGAAAAAAAAAAAGAGATACAGCCTACTTCGAGTAGAAAGCAGTCTGGCACACATATTCAATGTCTGATGTAACATTTGGGAGAGCTCAGCTGCTTAGTCCCTCATTTATGTTCCACCTGCATCAGCTACATGTGTTGCTTAAACTGACTTTTGGAGAAAGAGAACCCTTCCTCTGAAACTTTTCATAACTATTTATGTGTCTGTTTCTACCATTCTCAGCACTTCTGGCATGAGGTGGGAGTTAAATTAACCCATCTCTACCAAGTGCTTGTTTCTCAAAGGCATTTCAAATCTCCCTTCATGGTTTTGGTTTCATTTTGGTTTATAACTGGCCATTGCATTCAAGCCTTTTACCAGAGGACTCAGAATAGATGGCAAGTTGTATAGCCTCATGTCAAGTTGTCATGGTTTATAAACATCAGGTCTAAGAATATGCCAAATACAAATTTTCTTAGCAGTAACAAAGTCCAGAAATTTCAGGAAGTAGAGAAATTACCTCTTCCCTGTCCATCTTTATAAACTGAAATAGTGAGAGATTTATGTAGCAATCATTTTGTTACTACTACTTAAATAATTCATTTCTTATGTAGGCTGAATGAAAAAGAAATGTATGTTAAACTATAAAGCGATGAAGAGAGATCCTATTAATACCTGAAAAAATTCATTTCACAATTGTGTTGCTATAGTTGAACAGCAAGAAGTACTATTTTAAGAGTAATACATGCTGATTTATAAAATGTATTTCGAATTATCCGCTGGAGGAATATAATGCATGAAAAAAAACATGTCTTAATTTTCTTTTCTGTGTCCTTAATCCTCTTTCTGTTCTAATATTAGGATGTATGAACCATCTCTAGGGCCTCATAATTAAAAGCAGTCTGTCTATGATACTTTAAAATGCAATTGTAAGTAGAATTTTTAAAGGTTTTTAAAGACAAAGTTGTGTTCTATTTTTTCCCTAGGCAGATATTATTGCTAAAATGTAATAGTCTCCATGACTTCCAATAAACTTTCTGTAGGGGCTAAAGGAAGTCCTGATTGCACTACTCACTGAAACATTCTGATGACCAATAAATCAACCTTCTGAGGCTGAAAAGATAATATAGCAGTGATGTTTTCTTCTGCACTGTGTTTTCAAAGTCATTAGAGGTTTAGAATGGCCTAGAGTCTTTCTCAAAAATGTCTCAGAAAGCCTTCAGTCCATCATTTCAATTAAAATCACCACGCCCTGAGCCCCTAGCTTTGTTTTGAATAGCATAGCTTGCAAACTATCTGCTCTATTTCATGTAAGACGCCCTATGTCTTGAAGATCCCAATATACCAAAAGAGGCTTTGGTGCAATATTCAGTCATCCAAATACAATTCAGTTGCTTTCTAGACTCTGTTGACTCTATTGACTCTGGGTTTAATTCAGTTAACTAAACATGGGTGTGTAGAAATATTTGAGACATCACATAATGCATCTGAGACTTCTACACTGGGCTGACAAAATTAATGCAGAATATACACAAGAGGACTGAGATACTCTATAGCATCCCAGATGGCACTAACATTCCTGGGTGAGTGAGGCTTCCTTTAAATTTCCATGGACTGCAAAAGAAGATCAGATAACAAGATTACACATAGACACTGACCTTGTAGATTCTTTCCCAGATTCTAATCGCCTTTCCAAAGTCAATCACAACAGATATCACAGAACACAATCACAACAGATATGATACAAAATTACAGGGGACACAAAACTTTCTGGAGTGGGAGATGGAGGCCAAGCTAAATACATGACAGCACAGAAATGACACTAAGTGTCTTTACTTAAGAATATTAATCTAGCTCCTATTCAACAACTGATGTCTAGAAATACATTTAGCTGTTTAAATGTAGGCATCTTAATCTGTGAGGTAAATATAATTTTTAGGCTCCCTAAACAAGTCATTAATTTGTTCTCATTTCTTCATCTGGTGAAATGGAAACAGTGACTCCATCTAAGGAGTATGTAGCATCCTCAGAGAATATGTCAATAAAATTTTGTAATCACTATAGCCAAGACTACTATTTTTTCTATTTTCTCTAAATTCTTGGGCTTCAGTTTTTCTTACTTAAGTTCCAATGGACATAAATCTTCTGCTCTTATTTAATACTTCTCTTTTTATAATTTTGACCATTGTGTTCAGAAGGAAAGATCTTACATTATGCTATCTCAGTAGCGTGATTTATATGGCACTATAATCTCAAGGTTTCAAAGAAGACCGGGAGCTCATTCTATTAGTATCAACATCAAAGCATAGTAGGCACACCCTTCTGAAGAGTGATTAAGACTTTATTGTCACACTTAGAGCTAATTCTTCCAGTAAAGACAACTTGATTCTTGAGAGGTCTCAAGAATTAAAATAGGAATAGTTTGCCAATAGGGGCTCAGTATGAAAATTCCCATAGCTGATGTATTCATCCAGTTTTGGCCAGTTGACAAAGAGATGGAGGTCAAAGGACTGTGAAATCCATTTAAGTTTTGTAAAAAACAGAAGTGTAAAGGAGAGGTGGTATAAATGCCTAGATTGGAGAAGAGGTGTTACATGAGCTTGACTATTATGATATGCTGAGGAATGCATATGAGTATGCATAGCCAGATGCATATTTTTAAGTGCTGGAAGTGTGAGAAAAGCAAAACAGTGAGAAATCAGTAAAACACACATTTCCTTGACATAGGGTGCCCACAGCAAACACAGGAGGTCCAGTGATTTGGGTCAGTTACGGTGCTGAGGAGGAATGGAAAGCGAGATGTAGGCTGTGCGGTCCCATTCTTTCACTTATCTCAAGGATTTTTGCAGTAGCCAGACAGCCTTGTTTCTCACCCTCCATCTTTTTCCCACAAAAACCCAGCTATACCCGCCGCACCAAGGAATGTACTGTGTCGTTACTCAAAAGATAATGTCTTGACTACAGTCCCACCCACTCACACATACATACTAAAAGAAATACTACCCTGAGTTTGTGTCTAACTCAGAGGGATGATAATCCAACACCAAATCAGAGGGACAAATTGACGTGTTTGTACTCCTCGCCCCCCC